ATAGGGTAGAGAACTACATTATTCCCAAAAACAAAAGAAGCGCTCCGACCGAATCAATTTTTATCTTCATCCGATAGGCCAAAGTGAATTCATTGGCGTTTCAATTGCGTTTCAATGCGTTAGGCCGAGTTTAAAATCCATAGGCCGAGTTTGAGGTAAAGAAGCAGTGTTATACTTTTGACAATATCTCAACGATTGGTTTCCCGTTTTCAAATCTTACGGTACGTACGAAAAGGTAAATAAATTTGGAAGCCATCAGTAATAATAACATTCCGTTTGGTGCTAAACTGAACTAGATTAAGAAAGACTAAGTGCGGGATATGCTTAATAGGCCGGAAATGGGGTAGTTAACCCTACGTAATATGACCATCGGAATTTTTTTTCGTACTGCTCCAAGACCAGATGAACAATTTTCCAGATGATACCTCAGCAGTTGATCTAGTGATTCTGGGTGAAAAACCTTTGAACAAGTTTTGAAAAACACATAAACAAACGTTGTTGCAGTTGGTCATGTTATCCCATATTACCCTACCTTCTGCGTGCGTGGTAAAGCGGCTACTTATCGGGAAATGCAAAAACGAACACAATAATTTGCATGGCTTTTGTATCGTGGTGCTAAAATGCTCACCAGTAAAAAATAAGATTTTTTTTAAGAAAAAAAAATAATCATTTTGAGTATGATGTTTTTTGTTTGTTTTTCTGTGTACCGTGAAAAAATTCGAGAAAAAACAACTTTCTGATAATATTTTTCATGGATTGCTCAGATTATTTCTTTGTCATTTAACTTAAAATAAATTGCTTCTACGATATTTGGTCCTGGAAAATCAGGAAACTAATTCATAGAATCAAATAAATATGGTAAATAAGCAATACCTGCATGATTGATTTTAGCAATTGTTGTTTCTGGAAAAAAGTTAAGGCATTTTACTTTAAATGCAGAAAACCGGAGGAATCCCACACTATTAAGAATCATAAGTTAATGTCTAGAGAATTCTCATAATTTATATAATTTTTGACGTAGGACTACGTCTTTGATTTCTATATGGGGGTACACTTTGTGAAAACCGAAAATGGAACATGTAACAAATTAAGAAAGATTTTGAAAGTTAATAACTCAGCTGCCCCTGGTCCAATTTCAATAATGTTATCACCAATCGATCAGAAATATGGCTACGCATCGATAACAATGCTTCCGAATGTTGATTTTCAACAAGAAACTATTGAAAAACTGGTAAATGTCCAGCATTGTCCAAAAGCGTTGAATTAACTAATAAATCCACCAATTACCTACATGCATATGCTGCTTCCCCAGCACAGTCGTCAGAGAGTAGTAAGTAGACGAAACAAGTCGAAGTGGCATTCGCCTCCGATCCTCGGGCGCGTGCGAATAGGGAGGATGGAATTGCGTAATATTTTGCACACTCATCGCCATACTCAAAACCACACGCTCCCAACGACCACACCACTGTGTGGTGGTGTTCGGTCGTCGAAATTAGTAGCAGCAGTAGCAGTGCTTTCGGCGTGTGGCGTTAAAATTTGTTCTCCAGTAACAACGAAAGGCTGCCTGCAAGCAGCGAGTTGCAGAGCCCACATAAGCAACCATCAAAGGAGGAAGAAGCTGCACCGCTATGCTATGTATCGGAATCAGTAGCTCTTCGTGAGTCGCTGCGGGTCGGTCATCTATGCCAAGCGTGTCACCTTTGCTCTGAACAACATACAGCTCGACAGCCTCATCCGTGTTGAACACCTAGCTCAGAATTACTCAACCATCACTACAAAACGGTCCTTTTCAGGGCCACCAAAATTTGTTAAAGAGTATTATTTGGACATTGGTCAAGGTCATCAGTTCCCGCAAGCAGCTAGCTATCAAGGCGCAACCTGTTTATAGAAGGTGTGGAATTGTAGGCCTGAATATATTGGTGCAAATAGTTTTTCCTCGGCTTTCATTCCGCACGGTTCGTGTTTTTCGTTTAATCAATCACCCTTGTAGTGACGTCGAAAAGGTTGTTTCAATCGGCGCTTACATATGAAATTTAATGTGGATTATAGAATTTTTAGAACATTTTTTTATAGCAAGTGAGTGGAAGCAACCCTGGTATGAAGTGTTAAAAATCCATATAGAATTTGAGAGAAGTGGGAATAATTCGCTTTGGGTGTATATTCAGTCCCCAGAAAGCCAATAAAATCAAATTTGTGAGAAAATTAGCTCTCACAGCTCTCAGTTCAATCTCTCGAAGTCCCTCCTTTTTTACATATTCTGCACAAACGATACTTTCCGCCCCGCCCCATTCATATAATTCGGAAGGAAATCCTGTGAGGGGTGAATTGAATACACTTTAATACCAAAATGCACAAAACTTAAAAATTCATAAATAACAAAAAAATCCAAATGCACCTTTTAAAGTCGGGGTAGATGAATCGAAAATACTCAAGTTGACAGTTCCTTAGATTCTCTTCATCAACTTTCTTTTTGAAATAAATGCTACAAATTTGATATGCTTACAAATAAAATAACGGAAAGAGTTAAGATAATTGATGATTGATCAATTAAAAGAACTATATATTCACATTTGTTCCGTCCACTAGCGGTCCTACGTCAAGCTTCCGTTCGTGCCCCTAGGCACATACCCTTCTACTTTTTAAAGTTCGAAACATGAAATGATCTTAAATGAGACAGAATTTTGAAGTTTATCTAAGTTACATGCAGGCTTGCAATTGCTCATTACAGCTAAAATGCTATTTTTCGGTATTATGAAACAATGAGATACTATAATGATATAATTAAGATACTATAATTTTGTAAGATGCAAGAAGAGGTGGTAAAGTTTGTATATGACATATCAAATTTGTCAATTTTGCTTTCGGAAGGTCACAACTAGCGATTAGCTGTAACGATGAGCAACGCGATGAGCGAGCAATCAGTGATCATAAAATCGCTAGTTGTGACCTTCTGAAAGCAAAATTCACAAATTTTATATGTCATATACACACTTTACCACCTCTTCTTGCATCAAATAAAATAAAAATTATCATTATAGTGTCCCATTGTTTCATAATAATTATTATTATAGTATCCCATTGTTTCATAATACCGAAAAATAGCATTTTAGCTGTAATTGCAAGCCTGGTTACCTGTAGATTAATTAATTAATTTATCTTTATTAGGGAGGCTTTCAGCCTGGGGCTGGTTCGCCTCCACACCTGTAGATTATCCAAACACCACTTGGTCGTATTGAGCATTTTTTTTGTAAAGCAATAAGTTATGAGTTCCATGGAACAACATTTAGATTCTTGGATAATAATATCTATACCTCTCACGTTATAGTCACGAGTTCAAATATAATTAAAGTGACTGTAATAAAAATAAAAAAAAATACGAACAAAGATTTTTTTAAATGTTACATGCGATTTAATTTAATAAACACTAACAATACCATCTTTTTGGGGAACCATTACCCTTTCCGATGGTTGTGTTAGTTTGCGTGAGAGCGCTAAGAGTTTCGATAACATTGACGTTTGAATCGTTGTTTACAAAAGCAGATACGTCCCTTTGATAAAGTAATCGAGATTCAAATGATTTTCAGCCGTGTGGTGTAGTTTCAGGATTGTAGTCACATCATCATTAAGTTTCACTCATGGTTAATCTACTTTAAATCCCCTTCCAAATTCTCCAAGATCACTTGAATACTACTAAAAGAGGAAATTTTTCTATGGAGTTAATCCTGAGGTGAATCCAAGACAATTTTGGGATAAACCTTTTCTTAATTCTAAATAGCATACCACGAGATTTCCAGGAATACTCCATGTGAATTGTTAAGAATGAAATAGAGTGAAATTAACGCAAATATTCGCTTTCTCGAACAAAAAGATAAAGGTAGAGAAAATGTCAGGATTTTTCTGTAGGTGTGAAATTCCTAGTGTTTTGTACAAAATTGCGACTTTCATGGAAAAAAAGTCTAAGGATTACCGGACAGAATCAGAAGATTTTTGAGGGGTATCCTGAAAGTAAACATAATTCTGAAGAATTTTTTTAAATAATCTTAAGGAAATCCTTGAAAAATGTGCAGACTAAATTATTTCTTTGAAACGTTGACAATTATGAGATAATAGTAGCCAGGTGAGTATATACGCAGCTTAAGCAATAAATTTATAAAATTCTGAAGAAGGACAATAAAAACCTTTCAATTCTGCCTTTCAAGGAGAACTAATGATATATGAGGCACCCTCCCCTACAAAAAGAAGATTTTTGCTTCATGGTCTTGTTATCAACTTTACTTCTTCCCGTTTTAAAGTATATTTTGCTTGCTATCAAGTTGGATAAATTTGGTGCACTGGTGGTTGTAAATCCGATCTGATACTATTTTGTCACATCACTTAGAATACCGGAAATTTTGGACTCATGTATCTGGATTTAGTCGATTGATTTCAAGCATATTAAATAGTGTTCTCTGAAAATGTTGTACCATTAAATTGACGCGGTACAGACACTGTTTGATGCCTTTTAAAACAATTATCTCTCAGGCGAAACCAAGCGACGAACCCTGTTGCCGCGATGATTTCGGTACAGTGTTGTTGTTTTGAAGCATGTTCGTGTAATTCAGGATTTATTTTGAGATTTAAGAGATATTTTCAATCAACCTGGAAAGATATTGCTGCCAAATAGATGGTTCACTTTTGGGAATGATTGGCAGCTAGATTATATGCATACTCTGGCTGTTTTTCCATCTTTACTCACACACAAGTGAACCGTGAATGAAATCATTGCCAAAAACAACAATTTTAGCAATAAACCGTAACTTTCTGCTCATCCCGCCCGTGAATATTAACCATTCATCGCAACACGAAATCCTCCCGTGCCTGCATACCGGTTCAGTTACTGCGCGGAGCGGCATGGTTGCACAGAATGAAAAATTAACATCAAGTGGGATGTAACGAAAACCAGCGGGTGTAATGCGAAAGAGCTAAAGTTAAATAAATAACATAAATCATTCGATTCATACCTTGTTATGACCTTATTGTTATACATTTCTTACAAACACGTCGTCGTTGATCCATGTTTCGACTCCAGAGCGGTTCCAGTGGTAATATGCAAAAATTCTTCGGTCTCTCCGTCGCAGAAACGTCAGCGTGGCACACACATACGGAACGGGCGAGAAGAAGTTGGTTTCTCTACCACACCACACCACACCACAATCTCTGAGGTTCGCTGGACCCGTCAACTTGAATGATGTTGAATGGTTACAATAGCTGCTTACCAACACACGGGCACACATTCACGCGTCAAATCTTCGATTTCAATCGACACGGGCCTAGTGCCTTACTTGTAATTGTGTAGGCTGTATGTATGATTATTTGCCTTTACGCACAGGAACCAGATTTTACTTATTTTCATTTGAGAAAAATCGACTTTTGATTTATTGAACACAGAGCAATTAAAACATTGCACAACCTCACAAACACTGGCAACATTCAGCACAAAGTTCACTTTAATTCTTCGTACACATCCAACATCTTTAACAATTTCATTCCCATTTTCGCTTTCTGCCAGATGTCGGCCCCTCAATCCCACTCGTTTGCTAAATTAATGGAAAACTGCTTTTGGAGACACTTTTTTTCTTGCTTCGTGGTATGCCTTACAAAAGTACCCATTAAACAGCTGCAACTTTTTTTTGTGGTCAAACAAGTAAAATTTCATCCCATTTTAGTATCCATCCTCGGGCTTTAGTGGACCTTCTCTTGTAGTTGTTATAGATGGTCCTGTTTTTTTTCAGTTTCAACTTGTCACGAATTAGTCTATTCATGAAATATAATTTTAGCTTGGAAGCGATCACTTTTAGTAACTGTAGCTATGTGGCGAAAGGGGTTGCGTAAAGTATGCGGAGGAAAGAAAAAAACAAAAACATAAAATTCATACAAAAATTTTCAGTACAATGGCCTGCGGAATGACATGTCCTCACATACACTAGGACAAGTTTATTTTTCTTCACGCCGTGGCATAGTAGGTACTTGAAATGATTCTTATTAATCTTTCACTTTATGCTGCTTCAAACTGGTACCCACTGTTGTGACTATTTCACTCCCTTAGTCGATCGTGGCCAACATGCGCGAAAGAGATGACCGCAGTGCAGGAAAACAGTAATAAGAATAACAACTCACATCACCAACACAACTCCACTACCAAGCAGCTCCAGAAAGCTGTTTAAGATCAACATCAGCAATAACAACAACGGTAGGGAAAAAATGTAGTGCCCGAAGCACCACACGCCAATAACGCGAAACTTCCTTCTTGGGGTCTTGAACGCGCAGAGTCCGGCGACGGCGAAGACGACGACGACGAAAACCGTGATCGCGCAGATCAACTTCTTACGCTAAACTGAGAAAGCGAGCGAACAAACTGGAAACTTTGGGCCCCTGCTCGATCGGAGCCTTGATCCATCACCATCCATGGAGCAAAATATGGTGGTGAGCTTTTACGACCAGCCTGCAATATTCTCTCGCTCTCTTGCCGCTGAATTTTTCTATGGCTGTTTATGTTTATATGTTGAATGTTGAGCATGATATCAGTTGTGCTCTCTTTCTCCGTTCTATCTTATTGCCATCGGTGTTGTTCACTCAAGTGGCGGTTTCCGAGTGTGATGAAATGCTAGGAGTTTTGTTTTCGGGTTGCTTTTTTTTTTTTTTTTTTTGTTAATTACTTTATTTGTACAGGCTCATTCGAATAAACTTTACAGAGCCAAGTTATCATTTTCTTTATACATTATAAATGTCTTAAATCTAAAATTAAAGGATTGGAACCGATTACTCGCGGTCTTCTCGAGGTTAGTGGATGACAATTGTTTGGATCGGGAGAGGGAAAAGGAGATTTGGAATATGATTTATGATTCAAAAATTTCACTATTTCTAAAACAAATACTTAATCCTATCGACGTGATATCAACTCTGTAATTATACAATTATTACAGAAACAAATCTACAAAAAAAAAAAAAATACACACACACATACAAAACACAAACTAAACACAAGGTTAATCAAATTTACAATCTATGGTTAATATTCTTCAAGAAAACATATATGAGTTGCATAAACTCCAGATCGCGTCTAGCCAAAATATCCCGAACTGGAACATTAGGTTGTCTACCTCGAGCCCGAAGGGAATCATACAACTCGGATCTGACTCCACGGTGCTCAGCACATGACCAAATAATGTGATCTGCGTCCTGGTAACCTTGTCCACATTCACAGAGATTACTGTCGCCCAGCTCAACACGGAACAAGTGAGCGTTTAACGAGTAGTGATTGGACATGTGGCGAGACATCATACGAATGAAGTCTCGACCCACATCCAACCCCTTGAACCAAGGACACTTCGACACCTTAGGGATGATTGAATATAAGCATCGTCCCAAACTCCCTTCACTCCATTTATTTTGCCAGCTGGCGAGGGACTGTTGACGATAAATGAAGAAAAATTCGTCGTAGGCGATTTGTCGATCGTAAATATCGCCTTCCATAGCGCCCACCTTTGCAAGCGAGTCCGCCTTCTCATTGCCCGGAATCGAGCAATGAGATGGGACCCATGCAAAGGTGATGACAAAAGATCTTAAAGATAAAGCACTTAGAAGCTCTCGTATTTTCATGAGAAAATACGAGGAGTGCTTTACCGGCCTCATGAAGCGAATAGCCTCGACAGAACTGAGACTATCCGTAAAAATAAAATAATGATCTGGTGCAAGTGAGGCAATCGTTTCTAGCGTACAATGTATTGCCGCCAGCTCAGCAACATATACGGAACAAGGAGCTTGAAGCATTCGAGAGGCGCTATGAAATTCGTTATATGAACCAAAACCAGCGGACGCCTCTATTAGTGATCCATCTGTGAAGAACGATCTTGCGGAATCAACTTGGCCAAACTTTGCAGCGAAAATTGACGGAGCAATCATGGAACGATGATGCTCTGGGATTCCGCGAATCTCTTGCGTCATTGATAAATCAAAATGAACAGAACTGTCGAAGTCGGAGAAGCAAACACGATAGGGATTATGCTGCGAAGGGCTGACATCCTGTGTTATGTACACGTAGTACAATGACATAAAACGAGTTTGAGGGTTTAGCTCAAGAAGCTTCTCAAAGTTTGCAATCACCAGTGGGTTCATAATTTCACAACGGGTGAGGAGCCTGAGGGATAATTCCGAAAACCGATCAGAGAGTGGCAACATGCCCGCTAACACTTCGAGACTCATCGTATGAGTCGAGTGCATGCATCCTAACGCGATACGAAGACAGCGATACTGGATCAGTTCCAGTTTGATGATGTGCGTTTTAGCCGCCGACTGGAAGCAAAAACTACCGTACTCTAAAACCGATAAAATCGTTGTCCGGTACAACGTTAGAAGATCTTGCGGATGGGCTCCCCACCACGTTCCGGTAATTGTTCGGAGAAAATTGATCCTTTGTTGGCATTTCCGCTTCAGATACTCAATGTGGGATCTCCAGGTGCATTTTGAATCGAACCAGACCCCAAGATATTTGAAGGACATAGAATGAGTGATCGGTTTACCCAAAAGTTGAAGCTTTGGTTGTGCTGGGCTATGCTTCCTAGAAAAAACGACCAACTCAGTTTTCTCCGTGGAGAATTCGATACCTAGCTGGATAGCCCAAGTAGACAAATTGTCTAAGGTATCCTGTAAGGGTCCTTGCAGGTCGGCCTCTCTGGGTCCTGTCATAGACACTACTCCGTCATCTGCAAGTTGTCTCAACGTGCAGTTGTCCCTTAGACAATTGTCAATTTCTCTGACGTAGAAATCATACAAAAGGGGGCTTAAACATGAGCCCTGGGGGAGACCCATGTAACTAAATCGAGAAGCTGTAGAGTTTCCATGAGAAAAGCTCATATGTTTCTCTGACAGCAAATTGTACAAAAAGTTATTAATTAATGGAGAAAGGCCACAAGCGTGGAGTTTGTCTGAAAGGACTTCAACCGATACTGAATCAAAAGCCCCCTTAATATCCAAGAAGACAGAAGCCATTTGCTCTTTATTAGCAAAAGCCAACTGAATTTCAGTGGAAAGCAACGCGAGACAGTCGTTCGTTCCCTTGCCCCTACGGAAACCAAATTGAGTATCTGAGAGTAGGTGGTTCAACTCAACCCATTTGTCCAGGCGAAAAAGGATCATTTTCTCCAACAATTTTCGAATACACGATAGCATCGCAATGGGACGATACGAGTTGTGATCTGACGCGGGTTTTCCAGGCTTTTTAATGGCTATAACTCTCACCCGCCTCCAATCATCCGGAACAATATTAAGCTCCAGGAACTGACCAAACAAGTTCAACATGCGGCTCTTAGCGACGTCTGGGAGGTTCTTCAACAAGTTGAACTTGATTCTATCAGCCCCCGGAGCCGAATTGCCACACGAAAGGAGCGCGAGTGAGAGCTCCAGCATTGAAAAAGGCTGGCTGATCTCGTCTACCGAATTCGTCGTTTCGCGAGGAATCATCTGTGCCGGCACAGAATCAGGACATACTTTTCGCGCGAACTTGGGAATCCAACTATCGGAGTACTCCTCGCTCTCGTTGTTTGAAGACCGGTTACGCATCCTTCGCGCCGCATTCCAAAGCGTATTCATCGACGTTTCGCGCGATAATCCGTCCACGAATTGCCGCCAGTATCCGCGTTTCTTGGCTTTGATGAGGCTCTTGAGTTCGCGTTCAAGAGCCGAGTACGCTTCGAAATGTACGGGTGTTCCACGTTTCCGGAAAAGCTTAAACGCGTCGGACTTTTTACGATAAACCTCAGTGCATTGCTGGTCCCACCAAGGGGAAGGAGGTTTCCTACGGAAAGACGTTCCTGGAACCGGCCGAGTTTGAGCTTGAAGCGCGCTGTCCAAGATCAGATTGGAGAGGAAGTTATATTCCTCCAACGGTGGAAGCCCTTCTACCGACGTTAGGGCATCTTCTATCACATTCTTGAACTTTGTCCAATCGATATTACGGGTAAGATCGTACGCGACGTTAACGGGTTCCGACGGATTGAACCCACTGGTAACTGAAACTTTGATCGGCAAGTGATCACTACCGTGGGGATCTTGGATCACATTCCACGTGCAATCCAACGATAATGAGTTAGAGCAAAGTGTGAGGTCTAATCTACTTCCATTCGAGGATGGGCCAGCCAAACGTGTTACTTCTCCATTGTTAAGAATTGTCATATTAAAGCTGTCGCAGAGGTCATATATCAAAGTAGAACGGTTGTCATCATACAGTTCCCCCCAGCCTGTACCGTGGGAATTCAAATCTCCCATAATCAACCGTGGAGCAGGAAGTACCGAACAGATATCTGAAAGTTGTTTGCGATTAACAACGGCTCTAGGAGGAATATAAACAGAAGCAATACAAAGGCTCTTACCTTTAATAATAGCCTGACATGCAACAACTTCAATACCTGGAAATTGTGGAAGATTCACTCTATAGAAGGAATGGCACTTTTTGATCCCCAAAAGTACCCCTCCTCCACGCGAATCCTCACGATCCAGTCGAATAATGTTAAAATCATAAAAAGGAAGATCGATATCTGAAGAGAGCCAAGTTTCACAAACAGCAAATGCATCACAATCATTATTGTGAATTAAAAACTTAAAAGAATCTAATTTAGGAATGAGACTTCGACAATTCCACTGTAGAACAGTGATCAAATCCCCGACCTCGTTTGGAAAATTATCCATCGAAGGAAATGATTGCTGCAATGAGGGGCCACTTCAATGTCAATTGCTTCAAGAGGGTCTTCACAGAAGGAAGCATTGCCAGAACAATGCTTTTGAGAGGATCAGAAATATTGAGGTACTTGAGAATATCGTCCACAATTTTATCAAATGAGAACAACCCGGATTAAGAAGGGGCTTCTGTTCTTAAAAATGGGCCATCAGGGGTTTTTGATGTCCCCGGGAGAGATGGAAAGTTCTGGTTATAGTCAGTTCGGCGGAAACCAGGAGGAGTTGAAACTTCCTTTTTTCCATCACTCCTTGATTTGGGCAAGCTGATTTGGGGTTCCTTATCTGCAACTTTCCGCGAACGGATGCGTTTTCGTTTCCGTGCAGAACCTTCCGGAAAACTGAAAGAAACTCCCTCCTCAGCCAAGTCAGAGTCAGACTCGTCATCAGACAAAACAGCAAAGGGATTTTTGTCGTTGGTTGATGGTGTGGCTGTTTTTAGCATTGCTGCAAAAGACTGCCTGGAACGCTCCTTAATAGAGCGTTCTAGTTTCTCCCCGCGTTGTTTGTACGCCGGGCACGATGAGAGACCATGAGGAGTTCCCTTACAGTACACGCATTTTGGTGCAGTGACTGTGCAGGCGCCATCCTCGTGCTTCTCCCCGCATTT